TCTGATGCCCTCTTCTGGCCCCTGAGGGTACTGCATGCACGTGGTGCACAGACGCAGGTGCAGGCTCACACCCATCACACAGACAAGAAAAATAAATACTTTTAATTAAAATGTAAGATAAACAACTTGTTTAGAAGGTAGCGAACGGGTGAGAAGGACACCTGACATGAATCACCGGCTTCCGTAGACGCGCAGATGAAAACACATAAATCGATAAGCAATAAATGGCCAGATGAGGCCAGATGACTAAATCAATGACCAGGCTAATTACTGGCAGAGGAAACGGACCCGGCGATTGGCGGAGGCCAATCAGAACCTGCCTAGGGTAGAAAGTGGCACACCTCCTTTGAAGCAGGCGCCCAAGACAGGAGGTAGTATCGGGACAAACTCGACGTTGTTTAGAAAGAAGGGAAAAGAGGATAATATTGAGTATTAATCTGTGTTCTCTAGAGAAACCGAACAGCTGAGGTAGCATGTGTGCATGTACGGAAGTGTATGCATATATATGTATGTGTGCAGTATATGCATATGCAATATACATATATGTATATGCAATACACACATATATGTGCATATGTACATATATGTGCACATATATGTATATATGTGTACACGCACACACACACATAGCCACCCTTTGGGATTCATAGGGGATGGGTTTCAGGTGTGTTTGTTTACAAGTATCAAGTCCTCAGGTGTTCCCGTCCCCTATATGGTTGGCGTCACACACATGATCACACACGTGTAGACCCTCTTCTCAGCCTCCTTCATACTTCCTCTCATCTCTACATGACCGAAAACACTTAAAGCACTGTAGATAGCATGTGATAGGCGCTGGACATCACTGGCTAAGAAAGAATCATGAGACAACAGCTTGTCTGTGTTCAGCACAGAAGCAGCCGCGGGCGATTTCTTTTCTATCCACAGTTGGTTATTTTCACTCCGGGTGGCCTGCAGGTGCAGAGGCTAACCATATGTGCGTGCGCACACACATGTATGTTGTTCACTCATGTACGTGGGGAACTGTGGAGGCTGAGATGCCCTAGGTTCTCAGCCAGTGAACTGGATACTCAGGGAGGCAGGTGGCTCAGCCCCAGTCTGTGTCTGGCAAGCTAGAGTTCATGAAATGCCAAAATTCCGATTCAAACCCAATGCATTAAAAAGTCCATTCGACCCTGGCGAAGCGATTAGAGAGGACGGTCCGCTTCCTCTGCCTTTTCCTCCCCTTCAGGTCTCCAACTGATTGCACAAGGCTAGGGAAGGCAGTCAGCTGTTTAACTATCCTTCTCACTCAGAACCACCCTCGCAGCACGCTCCAAGGAATGCCTGAACCTATTCCTGTCTGGGTGTAGCTTAGATCACCCGCCCAAGCAGCGAGGCAAGCTAACTGGGGTTCCTCTACACTGAGAACGCCTCGCTCCGCACCCCCCCACACACCCCCGTCAACGCGCCTTTGAATATGTTTTCTCTGGAGGATCCTTCGTGGAGTTGATTGACAGATAAAACGAGACAACATACGTAACACTCACGGCACAGCATTGGCCTCATCAAGTCGCAGCCGCGGTCATCATCCTTACTGCTCTGTGAATTGTCCTGTGCGTTGCGCAGGACAGAAAGAGCTAATTGCTGCTAAAGGAGCACCTCTCCTTAGTGATGCGCGCGATGCCCATGATCATCGCTAGAGGGCGCCGAGGGAACCCTGCCAGAAGCAGCGCCAGGCTCTGGCTATCCGGTGAGCCAGCCCCATCACTGATCAACTGGTGGGGTTCGCAGCCTGGGAAAAGCCTCTAGGCTATAAGGAAGCTTCCCTAACGCTTCTCAAGCCGCCCATAGGGTGTGTGCTGTCTAGTGTTGTGTCAGTGACAAACCACAGTCATCAGAGAGGAGAGAGCCTCAATTGAGAAGATGCCTCCATCGGTGGGGGCCTTTTTCTCAATTGGATATTGATGTGGAGGGATCGAGTCCATTGTGGGTGGTGCCATTTCTGTGCAAGTCAGTAAGCAGCACCCCTCCATGGGCTCTGCAGCAGCTCCAGCCTCCAGGTTCCTGCCCTGACTTCCTTCAGTAATAGAATATAACAGGGAAGTATAAATCAAATAAGCCCTTTCTTTTCTCCTTAACCTGCTTGCTTTTGGTGTTTTATCACAGCAATAGTAAACCTGACTAGGACAGGGTGCAAGGCTTAGGACTCAGGCCCAAGGCAATCCCCGGGCTCAGATGCTCTGGAACTACGTGGTAGTTTTAATGTGCTTGGTCCAGGAGTGGCGCTATTAGGAAGTTTGGCCTTCTTGGAGGAAGTATGTCACTGTGGACATGGGCTATAAGACCTTCCTCCTAGCTGCCCGAGTCACTCTCCTCCTAGTGGCTTTAGGATGAAGAAGAACTCTCAGCTCCTCCTGCACCATGTCTGCCTGCATGCTGCCATGCTCCCGCCTTGATGATAACGGACTGAACCTCTGAACCTGTAAGCCAGCCCCAGTTAAATGTCGTCCTTTACAAGAGGTGCCTTGGTCATGGTGTCTGTTCACAGCAGTAAAACCCTAACTGAGACAGAAATTGGTACCAGGAGTGGGGTATTGCTGTGATAGGCTTCACCATGCTTTTGTTTGGAAGAATGTGGATTTGGGGACTTTGGATTTGGAAAGTCATGGAATGCTTTAGGTGGAGCTTATTGGGTCATCTGAGTAGGAATACGGAAGACATTGGCGCCGAGGGTGACTGAACTGTGGGGGACCTGGCTCGAGAGTCTTCAAAGGAGAAGAATGTTAGTCTACGACGTAGAGATTATTATGATATTTTGGTGACAGACATGGCTGCTTTTTTGTCCTTGTCCGCAGAGTCTGCCTGAGGCTAAAGCGAAAAGATTCAGATGAATCGTGTTGACAATTAAGTCTCAAAAAGAAAAAGAAAAAAGAAAACCCTAATTTAGAAGCTATCCTGTGGTTCAGTCTTATGAGGAGGGTTTTGAGCAAGCTTAAAAAGGAGACGCTCAGAATGTACAGTTCAAATAATAAAGGAGCACCAGGAAGTGAAATGGAGCTGAATCCTGTGTTCAAGGAAAGAAGTATATATTAAGGGAGTAAAGATTTGGGGGCAGGATCCCACCCAGCTAAACTTTATGTTTGTATTTACAGTTAAAGAGTGGATGGTTATATTATTATGACACGGTTATTGGTTTTACTTGGACATAAGGAACTGTGATTGTGTGTCAAGTTGACATGAGATGACACAAGCTTCCGATCTGATCCTTGAAGCATAATCACCATATGAAGCTTAGGTCCGGGCATGGACCTTTAACTTTAATCTCAGGAGACAGAGGCAAGCAGATCTCTGAGTTCAAGGCTGGCACCGGACAGAGCAAGTTCTAGGCACAGAGAAGCTGAAGTGCAGGCATGGAGAACCATGACTTTAATCCCATCATTCTGGGGACAGAGCCATGAAGATCTCTTGAGTTCAAGTTACAGAGCAGGTTCCAGGACAGCCAAGCATATTCAAACCACCACTGAATAATCATTTATATTAAAGAAAAATTCTACGTTCTTAAAAAAAAAAAATCAGCCCAAGAAGGTTTGCAGGGTTCGGTGTGGTAATGGGAAACATCTGATCTACTTAATACAGATTGGTAAGTCTATGCAGCCAGAGCTCAGGACATAGTAAGTCCTCAATTAGACTTATAATTGTCAAGTTATTTCTTGTTCTCTGGCATCCTGGAGATACTAAGAACACCTCAGTGGAGAGAATGGGGGAGTATTGTGACTGAGACACTACTGCCACACACAAGAGGGGCTCTGATACACATACACACACACATTTACACCGTCGCCATCTTCAGACACACCAGAAGAGAACATCAGATCTGACTACAGACGGTCGTGAGCCAGCATGCAGTTGCTGGGAATTGAACTCAGGACCTCTGGAAGGGCAGTCAGAACTCTTAACCACTGAGCCATCTCTCCAGCCCCACACCAGGACTTTTGATCTAGCTGTTGTTGATTTTTTTTTTTTTCACTGTATGGAGTCCTCTTCCCCAGTCATCTCCAGCCTCCTTCTTTTCCTTCTTGCTCAGAGAGAAAGCTCAGCTGCCCCTTGTTCCACAGGACAACCCAAGTCCCTAGTATCTCCCCTACACCGACTTCATTTTCCTCTAGAACCTTACAATGCGCTATCCTCTATCGTGCCCTCAGATGGTTTACTGTCTACCATCTGAGTGCTGCGGCAGTGTGTCTGTCCGTCTCCTTTGCCTCAAACTCTCTGTGACTTAGAGATCCTGGCCGAACCCTGCTTCCCAGAATAGGGGAGGGAGCAACTGAAGAAGAGGCAGGCTTCTTCCAGATGGAAAGCCAGTGTATCTGAGTGGAGTCTAAAAAGGGAGACGGGGAGAAGAAAGGAGGAGGGGGGAGGATATGAAACAGCAGCAGCTACCGAGTATGGACGCTGGGCTTTTTTGTCTTGTCTATGCTGAGAATTACACATCAAATATCTCGCTTGACTATCAGCTCATTCTAGAACTTATATCCACTTTATACAGGATGAGTCAAGTTTTTGTGGCGGCAGGGCTATGCTCCCTGCCTCAGTCTCCCTATTGATGAGTTGTTAGGAGTGTGGCCCATGCCTGGTTTTGCCTCATTTTTAAATTGGCATGGATGGACGGACGCACGCATGTGGAGCACGGTTCCGCTTCTTAAATCAGCCTTGGCAACTTAGCACGGCCTGGCGCAGATGCCTGGAGGAGACTGGATGGGGAGGCTCTGTGCCGCGTGCTGTCCAGGAGGCGGCGCTGAGCTCTCATGGGTGGGGTGGGCGGGATGTCAGGTTCTGACGTCCACATCCTGGGCTGTCACTCATTCCCTGCCGGTCCCGCCCCCTCGCGGCTGCAGCAGGGCGCGGAGCAGGGACGCGTCCAGGCACCGGGCACCGACCAGCTTGAGCCATGGCTTCGGTCCCTGCGGGTAAGCACGGGCGGGCGGCGGGAGGGCGGCCAGGCCCCACGGCCTCGGTGCCGCTCACCGCGCTTCCCTGCTTGTCCCGCAGAGGCCGAGACCCGCCAGAGGCTGCTGCGCACTGTGAAGAAGGAGGTAGGAGCGGCCACCCCAGGGTGACAGGGCCACCGCGGGCACCTGGCTGGCGGTGGCTGTGCATGGTTAACCAGGGCGGGGGCGGGGGAAACGCTAGGAAACGGGTGTTTCAGTGCGTGAGGCCCTCCGGGTGTAGGAACGAACGGAAGGTGTCTAGGTGCGACCTTTCCTTGTAGAGGGGCAGGTTCTTACTCCTGGGGTAGGGTAGGGTGATGCGGGGCTCCTCACTAAGGATGCAGAATGTCCCCGGGTAGATCAGGTTTCGGGGAAGGGAGAGGTTCAATTTTGAAACACGAAGCTGTCCCCCTAACCCACCCTAGATGCTCGGTCCTTGGAGCCACCTCTAGGTGCCAGGGACTCTGTCCAAGGAGCCTGTGACCTGGGCCAGGTTCACAGGGCAGGTGCCCTCCAGCGATCCACGGGATCAGACAGGAGTGGCTGCCTGCCTCCCCCGGGATGAAGGAAGTAGCTGGGAACCCGGCCTTACCTTGGAGTTCAGTCAGTGACCTCCCAGGGCCTTGGGAGTGGGGAGAGTTTAGAAGGCTGAGGTGGCATTTATATATCTGTGGGCCTGTGGTGTAGATGCGTGTTGCCCGGGACATGTGGCCGTGTACATGTGGATGGGAAACACATGTGCACCTGCCTGGAAATACCTAAGGACGATCTATATATTTGCGTGCGCTTGTCTGAGTCTATGTATGTTTATTTGTGTGACTGGGTAAGACTGAGCATGTATGGTGTGGCGTTGCCCTTCCATTTTGGCTCCGCCCCATCCTTCAGCCACCCCTTCCCCCTCCCTGCCTCCCCCTCGCTGCCTTAAACTCATCTCAGGATTGTTATCCCAAGTCCTTGCCTGGCTGTGAATCTGTGAGCCGGGTTCCCTTGCTTCCTGAGCATGGTGGTGTGTGTGTCTATGCCTGTGTGTACACCTGTGTGATGTGTGATGTGTGATGTGTGTGTGTGTGTGTGTGTTAGGGGTATTACCCGGGAGGCTCTTCCTTCCTGGTGGCAGCCACCTGGGCAGCTGGAGGCCGGGACCTGTTGCCTGCTCCTTCCTCCTCTTGGGGATCGTGGGTGTGTCTCTGTGTTTGAGTCTCGGTGCGTAGCACATTCCTTTTAAAGAACCAGCTCCGCGGATGATTGCAGATTCTAGAAATTTCCCTCGAGGTGACATGTAGGATGGATAGCAAGGGGGGGAGGTGTCCCTCAGAAAGGCCTACAAGTCTTTATCTCCATCTTTGTAAAGACCTGTTTGAAGATACTATCCAGACCCTAACCCCACAAGTTCACATCCCTGCTTTTCATGGCCTAAAGCTGGAAGGAAGATCGTGCTTTTAACCCAGCCCCGGCTGGAATGCACACTCCTTGACTGTCAGAGCCTAAGGCCCTCTTTATCAGGGAAATGTTTGACCAAATAGGATGTACCATGAAAGATAAGGCTCTGGGGAGCCTAGGAGACACCCATGTCAGGCTGTGCCACCGGCTTCCTCAGAGTTCGTCATCCCTAAGTCCTCTCTTCGTACGATCATCCCTTTCCCGCCTGCAGAGCGACACGTGCGGCCCCGTGGCCCACATGTCCCCTACCTCGTCAGTCTAGCTTCTGGATCTGAGCTTCTTCTCTGGGGGTTTCTATGTGCCGTGCACCGCAGACGTAGTAACCCCGTGAAGATGGTTGACACAGAACCAGGGCGCACAGCACGGGGAGTGGCTTCTAAACAGCACCCAACCAAGAAAGGACAGAGGTAGGATAACCACCCCCCAGGTCACCTAAGCTCTTGAGATATGGGGGTGACGTGATTCCCATTACCCTACTGGGAATAGCATGGCCAGAGGCAGGAAGCCATGTTTGAAGTGTACAGACTCAGTTCAGAGGAACAGGAGGAAGTCTGCTGCCACCTGCAAGTTCTCAAGTCAGCTCCCTAAGCTTGCTTCTCTGTATGCTCCTTGCCTTGACCACCTCCTTGGGCAGTGAGCCCCTCCTCCAGTGTCAGATAGATACGGATAGAGAGAAATTTGCCTAAAAGTCTGACTAGCAAGCATCATCTTCTCTGTCTCTGAGTTTGGATGAGCCACACCCTTATATGCCACAGCCTCCCTCTTGTTCCTGGAAGAGGTGACAGCAGGGGACTTCCCTAGATAGCCAGACAGCTGTGCAAGCCTGTGGGGTTGGAAGCTCTGTCCAGAAGCAGCCTGAGGAGCTGTCGGGACCCAAAACCCATCAGGTAGGTCAGGAAGAATCCCCAAATTCAAGTAGAGCTGGAGTTGGAGAGCCAGATCAGAGACATTCTGCTGGAGGAGGTGGATGATGCTGGCAGACCCGGTAGTGACATGAGAAAGGGGAGGATTATGGGGAGGGACATGAGGTATCACTCTGCAAGGCCATAACTCAGGCCCCAGCACTGGACAAAAAAAAAACATCTGCAGGCCTACAGGATGTATGACAGTGGAGAACCGTGAAAGCCCTGGCAGAGAGAGAGAGAGAGAGAGAGAGAGAGAGAGAGAGAGAGAGAGAGAGA